TTTCTCTTTTACATTCTGTTTGGTATTAACTATGTTCACATGGCTGCGCAACTGGTTGGAGACAATATCTTCAGAAAGTTGTAAATGTGGCTTATGTAACTTAGATGAATGAATTTACCTTTGCCCTCAAGTTAAATATTTATAGCACTGGTCATTTCTTGAACTGATTAAAATAAAGTAAGGATTTTTTAAAACATTGGGATTTTGGTGTTCTGCATGCCACATATATACACTAATGTAGCTCACATGCAAAACAATTAAAGGAAAGAAAGATACATTTCAATATCAACATTTTTTGCAATGGCCTTTTAGAGAGATTTTCTTGTCCTTTTTTCCTCTATTTACACATTATGTGTAGGAGTGTAGAAGCCTATAGTCAAGCATTTATGTTATATCTGCTTTATTAATGTTTCTTTATTAATATTATTAGCAAACAAAACTGCCCTAGAATTGGTTGGAACAGCCCTTAACTTGCTACAGCAAATCCTTTAAGAAAGTTTGTCTGTAGTTGCACCCCGCCTATGGAACAGCTTCCCAAAATAGTTTACCTGTCTCCCTTACTATGATTTTTTCAGCACCTGGCAAAAACAGTTTTATTGTATAGCCATTTTAATAACTGATTTTATTCTGATAATTTTAACTTGTTGTTTAATATGTATGGTTTTAAATCATTGCCCTCGGCTACATACTGTCTTGTTTTATTGTCTTTTGTTCATTGTACTTTAATTATTGCTTTTATTTTTATTATGTGTTTTATTGATTGTGATCCAGTTAGAGGGCCCTCAGGCCAATTAGTGACAAATAAGTGTAAAAATAAATAAAACTTTCACAGCTGTCATAGCTAGAAACATTGTGCTCATGGTGTTCAAGTAAAGGCTTGCATGTGGTCAACCTTGGCCCAGTTCCTGACATGGTGCATTCCTGTAGCCCCCTGAGAGAAGGAACTATTTCATGACAAGGGGTTGGCATATGCCATTGTTTCTTGGCCTACTGATCTCCCCTACCTTTGTATAGACCACTAAGCTATGTACCAGTTAGGGAAAACTATGTGTCAGTGGCTGAAAATGTTACTGCAGGCTTCAACCTCTTGGACACACTTTACCCTGAGGTTCCTACCACTAGGATACTTCATAGAATAGTAGAGTGGAAGGGGCCATGAAGATCATTGGGTCCAGCCCCCTGCTGTTGCAGGGCACCAACCCCCTGCTGTTGCAGGATACCAAGTTACACCATCCCTCTCAGATGGCGGTCCAGTTTCTTTTTGAATGTCTCTAGTGTGGGACATGCTCTTATTCATGCCAAGCTTCAAATGTCTGATTTTATGATCTTGGCACTATGGTGCTGATGGACAGACAAGCCTGCATTTACACAAACAGACATTTTCTTTCATTAGCTGCAGTGTACCCACTAATATCAGTTACAGATCTACCAGAATTTACTCTTAACATGAAATTCAAGATCAGGCAGTTTCAATTACTTTTTCTCCACTTTTGCTATGTTTTCTACAAGTCAAGAGATCTCTGCATAATGCACAACAACATGAAGCCCAGTGAGGCAAATTAAGGACATGTGGTGAGCTTGCTTTTACTTTTTCTCTGCTTTCCTTGGCCAAAGTTAGATCTTTAATGAACTTTTAAACAATAGCTTCTTGTATAAGTAACATATAAAGTCAATGCCAAATATAAATTTCAAAAGAAACCGCATCTGCCCTTCAATTTCTAAACTTTTGGTGCTGTTTATGTTAAAAGAAAGTATTTTTAAAGAGGAAGACGTGACATTTATTAGATGGTGTTATGCAACATTTGAAATTCAGTTTACATTCAAAAATAGTCACTTCTGAATTTTAGTTTAGTACCCCCACCCTACACACAGCCATTCATGAGTTGCCTTCTCAACTTTTAGTAAACTTGAATCACAGGGGATAGAAGCATACATTTCAAATGCTGCTGTCCATAAGAACCATATTTTTTGGTTTGGGGTACATTTAGGTGTTTCACATAAAATACAAGTTTCTAAACAAATCAATAGTTAGCTTGACAATAATTAAACAGATGTAATTTGTTTATAAATTGTATGCATATATCTATATCAGCAAAGCGCATATAAAATACAAGTTTGTACATGTGTGTATGTACTCATGTTAACTAAAGGGACATATGTGTGTGTGTATGCATGTGTGTAATATACAAGCATGGTATAAAAACATAGCCACACAAATGTTAGAAGCCAGGATCAGTTTCACATGACTGTTGTTGTTTCCTAGCCTACCTGTAAACATAACATGTTCTGAGGTGAGTTGTTTCTGTCAGTGTTGACCCAGTTGCACCATGATGCATTTGATTTGTCTTTGGGCATGGCCAAGCCTATGGGCATGTATGCAGTGCAAGATTGAGGCCACAAGCTCTGTTGAGGTTGAAGTGGCTGAGTTTCTCAGACACTGCTATGTGTTGAAATAGTGGTGTAAATGAGCCAGTGGAAAGGCAATTCAAAGTTGTTACTAATAGCCACTTCTGACATTCTGTGCCTTTTAATGTCATTTTTAAGAATTCTAAGGCACCCTTGAAAACTCGGTTAAAGATAATTCACATATTGATTGCTCTCCAGCAATTGTGTGCTAAGTAATTTGTGTTCAGTTAGTTCTCTTCAGTTAGTTCTCAAGTTGCATGAGTGGGCCAACTTGAGGTCCTCCAGATGTTTTGGCATGCAGCTGCTAGGAGAGCTAGTGGCAGGATGGCCAATTCCTATGCTGGCTACCAAGGCAATTAACAATGTATATTTACCTGAGGCTGGGTTTGGAGTGTAAAATGTGCCATCCCTTCATGGCATGTTAGTGTTCCTTATGTTTTATCATATGTGTTCTGAACTGCCTTATGTGGGGAGACCCCAAAAGGTGTGCAACAGATGCAGAGACAATAAATATAGATAACGATCCCTTGATGATGCACAAGTCCAGTAATGAAATGAAAACATACTATTGAAGCATATCAGAGGTTCCTAACCAATAGAAATAAAAAATTGATCCTTTCTTAGAAATATTGATTGATAAGGAATTCATTCCGTAAGTGCTTCTATTACATAGGAGTTCTTTCCAGACCGCTTCAAATAGTCAAATAACCATAAATATAAATATTTTGCACAAGGAGTGCTTCCCTCATTTCTCTTTGTTTCTGAAAATGCCCTCACAAGTTATTCTAATGATGAAAATCATTATACAGGAAGGATATATATCTGTGTCTCTGTTCGCAAGTGAAATGAGGGTATGTGAAGAATTTGGGAAATGGACCTTATCTTTAAAGATATTTTTAATACTTATCAGCTTTGACAGTCAAGATTTTAACTGGAGAATCTGCTCTGAAATGGAATCTGAGTCTCCTAACATTGTTGTGCATACCGTTTAATTTTTAGTAGAAATATGCTCACTTGAGTATCTATAGTTAATGAAGCCAATCTAAATTTCCATAAAAAGTCAGTGTTCTTTCTTTGTTAGCAATTAGACCCCAATACCAAATGAAGTAGCAATGGATGTAATAGGCAAAGTCCTCACACAGAAAGCTGGAAAAGTTTTAGCAGTTGGTCTCCAGATGTGATAGAGTGGCATTACTGAGTCATACCATGCTTATTTTCACATATGGCCTCCATTTTTTTGTAATGCAAAAATCATTATAAAGAACCCCTTAGAGGATTTTCACAACCTAGAATTCAAATGATTTTTCCTGGCCATTGATATGTACCCCGGTATTTGATACAGTATGTATTTTTATATCTAATAAAAACAAAGTAAACAGAACACTTAAGCCTTCACTACAGCAGCTGTCCTATAGACATTTCTCCTAAATTATCTGTAATTAAATTCATACCTGTTTTCTTGTATTGCAAATGCCATAAAGCTGCATGTTTACCAGGGAGTAGGAACTAAGGCCTACTTCTGAAAGTAGGTAATGTGTTCTGAGGGTACACAGACATTTCTATTTCTTTATTTTTGAAAGGGAACTTAAGGAATTTTGCACTAGAAATTGTGCTATCACAGTACACTTTTGCTTGCTTCCTAGCTAATTTATGTGTATCAGGGATACAGGCAAATAATTCACATCCTAAAACTACAGATCTCTGTTGTAGTTCAGCAGTCCTATGACTTTCTGGCCCTCTAGGAATTAACTCAGTATAAGTTCCATTTTTTTTGTTTGTTTCCACTCTCATTGAAATAGAATAGTTGGTATACACATTCCATTAAAATATTAATAACAATAACATAAAGCTGGTTCTACTGTAATTTAAATAAAGAATGCTAAGTCATGGTCAATTAGTCTTAACCAGCCTTTGGTAGGAATCTTTAAAAATACAGCCAATAATGTAATGCTTTTTAGAAACAATGGGCTAGAGCAGCCTTCTACAACCTGGTGCCCTCATGTTGTTGTGGATTACAACTCCCAGTAACACCTGACACTAGCTAGAGCTGATGGGAATAAAAATGTGGAACATCTGGAAGGCACCAGGCTGGAGAAGATTGAACTAACATAGGCTGTTCCTATATTTCAAGCCATTTTGATTATTGTCGATAGATTGTCTCAACTTAGTCACTGACCTGGTTTGCA